AAAAAAAAAAGAATGGGTCGTATGCAAATGGCCTGCACAGTGTGGCTGGAGAAGTTTCCCACAAGCTGAGTGTGAAAAGGGCTCTCCCTCCCCATGCCGGGCCCGCTGAATGGTCCTTTTCTTCTGCCGCTCAAAGTGTATGAGGTAGAGAGCAGGCTACTGCAAAGGTAACTATGCTCTTTCTCCTCAGAACCCCCCCCCCCCCCCCCTCTACCTCCCCACATGACTCACAATGGTTCATCACACAAACCCCAATAAAGCACATCCGAGCACAGTTAGAGGGGGTTACTGACACTGACTCAGGAGTTTAAAAAAGAAGGAGCACCTTTTTATAGGCTAATGCTCTCCTCCTCCGTAGGAGCAGCTAATCATTAACAGAGATCCGCTGCTTCGCGGCGGAGGAAGCCACCCAACGTAAACCGAAAAGAAAAACCGTCAACAAGTATATCTGCGGTTGGTTTGTTTCCGGCGAGACAAGGGCGAGTCGTCCGCCGCATCTGCTGCAGCAGACGCTCCTCCACTTGTCACCTGTTGTACCCCCTCCTCCCTTTCTCCCTCTGCAGGGAACTCGGTTTAGGACAGGAGGGAAGGGTAAGGTGGGTAGGAACCCCCCCATCATTGAACAGACTTCAACACAAACACAATTGGACATGCTGGAAGACACACAATGGCACAGAGGGGGGAAAGTGAAGTCATACTCTAAGAACGCATGGGTGCCCAGGTCAGGGGGCAGTCAGACCCCCGCCCCCTCCAATCCCCCCCCCCCCCCCCCCTTTAGCTACTGTGTCTCACTATTCTCCCAAAAAATAAAGGCCAAGCTGTGGAAGGAGGAGAGACGGAGCGATTTTCCTCCTACTTGGCGCTTTCAGATGCAGCTCACTGTGGAAGCTGCTCAAAAGCTGAGAGATAAATGAAAAATTTCCTCCTCGGCCAAACGGAGAGGTGCTGGTGTGTGGTGGTGGGTGGGTGGGTGGGGGGGGTTTGGACCCCTAAATGTAAACAGATGTCTGTTAGAAGGCAGGAGTGGGTAACCTCCTCCTTCACCTACTGCTGTTCCTTCCCTGAGATCCGCGTCACGTCGGAGGTTTCCGGGCTGTTTCTGGAGCGCGACGTTTAACTGAGGCGTAGTTTCACCACCAGGCCTTTAAACTCCACTCTATTACATAAGCTTTGGTTTTTTTTTCTTCTTTTAAAGTGGCAGTGGGTGTAGGCATCAGATGGAGCCCAGAGAATCGGCTTCCTACGTTCTCCTTGTTAAAAAAGGAGGGGGGGGGGAATCTATCTGTTCCAGAGTTCTTCTTCAATCAAATATTTGATTGAATCTAAACAGAGAGCTTTCATTAAGAAAGATTAAGAAAACAGGATGGATGGATGCAAAATTTACCCTGAGTTACTTTTATGGGGTCTTATGCATATTTGTGAAATCCATAAAAATAAACAAAATCCCTTTTTCTTTGCCTCCTTAAAACTCCCTACCTGGATGCATGAGCCCCCCCCCCCCTTTAGAGGGCATATTAACCGGCCTCCCAGCCCTGTTTATTTTTTGCAGAGAATGTTAATGCCCGCTGCATTCCTCTATTCCCAAACCGCAGCCAGAGGAAAGCTGATGGCCTCCCCATGGAGGTTAAGGTGACGAAAGGGGACGCGACTCGGAACACCTGTCGTCCTGCAGCCTGTTAACACCTCTATGTTTACAATCAGGGAATGGAGCTCACCTTGATCCAACCCCCCAACATCACTGCCAGGCGCAGCCAATGCCCATAAAGGCCAATTTATGCTTCTGACGCATAGCCTCTGCAACCATCAAATCTGTCTCTGCCTCAATAAAATCCCGACTATGTGTCGGACCGTCCCAAAACCGGCGCATACCTCAAGCGGAAGTGCGCAGACAAAAAGCAGGTTATCCTTCTCGATTCCGTGCCGGGAGCACTATTTTATTAAAAAGACGAACAACTACAATGGACAGCTACGACGAAAGGTTGATCAGGGAGGTTCGGAAGCACAAACACATGTACGATGCCTCAGACAAATTCTATGAAGATGCCAAGGTCTCTGCCAAAACGAAGTTCTCGTGACCATCCGCCGAAGTTCTCGCAAATTCTCGAATAGTTGAATTTTTTATATTTTAAACGTTTGTTCAAAATTGACATAATGGTAAACAGGGCTAATGTCAACACAGAAAGGTGACGCTTAAGGCCAATTTATGCTTCTGACGCATAGCCTCTGCAACCGTCAAATCGGTCTCTGTGCGCAACCACGCCCCCCGCACAAAGGCTCTGCAACCGTCGTTGCGCACCTCAATAAAATCTCGACTACGCGTCGGACGGTCCCAAACCCGCGCAGACCTCAAGCGGAAGTGCGCAGACAAAAATCAGGTCGTCCTTCTCGATTCGGTGCCGGGGCGCGCCATTTTTAAAAACAGACGAACAACTACGACGAAAGGTTGATCAGGGACGTTCGGAAGCACGGTCGGATGCCTCAGACAAATTCTATAAAGATG